CATGGCTTCCCCATTGTTGTATCCATCTCAAGCATTATCATCCCAGTAAACTACTTCCATGTTGAAAATAGAACACAAACAATAAGTAATTGTCATCCTAATTCTTCAATTTTATTAAGTACTCCTAGAGATGGCAAAATGGCTCGCGGGCCCAAGTCGCCCGTGGCTTGGCCCATAAAAAGCTAGAGTTGGCCCGGCTCGAGGCTTGGGCTGAGCCCATCTTGGGGTGGTGAGTTGAGCCCGAGCCGGCCCATGTGGCTCGCGGGCCAACTCGAAATTAAAAAAAAAATTATAAAGGTAGCAGCCTGTTGCCATGGAGAGAAAAAAAAAACAAAAAAAATCGAGCCGACTTGGCTCGGTAAGGCTGAGCCTCTGTTCGAGCCAAAAAAAGCTCGAGTCTAGCTTGACCCTCGATTTTCAGCTCGCGAGTCGGCTCGACTCGTCGACACCCCTAAGTATTGCACATTTTCTCATTATTAGTATTATAGCTTCACATGTGAGCTTGAGCCTCGATTTTCAGATCGCGAGCCAGCTCGGCTCGTGGACACCCCTAAGTACTCCACATTTTCTCATTATTAGTATTATAGCTTCACATGTAAATTGTAAATTGATTTGATTGTAAAATAAGATTCTAACTAGCACTCTTCCCCTTTTTCCAATCTAGGGTTCACTTGAATAGGGAACAAAGTGATCTAGAATGAGAATTTAACTTCAATGGATTTTCAAATCTTGAGTCATTTAGAAAATGACAAATCCACTCTTAGAACTCTTTACATAGTGTCGGCCCTGTCCAAGGCAAGTGAGGCTACTGCCTTAGACCTCATATTCTAAGGGGCCTCTAAAAAAGTCCAAAATCGTCCATCTCTTAAAAAAGTAATAAAAAATGAACCGCCTTTCTCTATCCATTCCATTTTAATCATTTTCTCTAGACTCTACAGAGCAGAAGGTAGAATTAATCCCTAAAAACTATCGGTGACCAGTCTACCGCTGCAAAAGTTCTGGCAAAATCAGCAGGTTGGGGCTCTTTTTCACTCTTATTATTTGAGTTTGTAGGTTTGTTGACCTTGCGTTGAATATTGATTTCTGGTTCCATAAGTGGTTGCAGTCTCATTGAATTAAAGCTAACTAGTACTAACTATATGTACAATTGAAAATATTAGAGTGTTAATGGTCATTTTTTAATAATGAATTGGCAGAAAAATGATGTGGCATTTTGCTTTAATTTTCTATTGCAAATACAAGTGAAGTAATGGTTATGAATGTAAAAGTACATCTAATCAGGAAGTTGCAACTTCTGGACTTCAGCTGGTCTTTTCTTAGTCCAACATGGTCATATATGTAGTAATGTTCCACATTTTTTGAAATATTTTTAGTTTTTTCTGTGAGAGACATTTCTTTTTCCATTTTGTCTACTTTTTTTTCTGGAGGCAATGCATTCTCTCTGTGTACCTATTATTTTCATATGACCAGGCCCAATGTGAGTTGGATCACTTAGCCACGCTTCATAATTGAAAAAGCGAACACTGTGGAATTACATACTACTCGGTATTCAGGTTTCTTCAGTTCAACTAAGCCCATAGTTCCGAAACTTCTATGCGAATCAAGATCCCCCGTAACTTCGGGAGAAGGGGTGCCTCCTCACAAAGGGAGTCGTGACATAAAGACTCCTTATTCCTAGTTAGAATTAATTTAATTTTTTACGGATCCTTTCCATTTCTATCTTGAAGATATATTTACGATAATTATTTATAAATCATTAATTTTTTTCTCTTGTAATGATTTCTTTTATAGTCTGTACAAAATAACTTACTTTGGTAGTGATTCTGAACAACCGCATTGTCTATTTCAATTGCCATCGCGACCACCACTATCACCAATTTCTGAATCCTTTCATTTTGGGGACTCATCAATTAGGTTTTATCGCTCTCTGCTTATTATTATGTCTACAAGAAAATTTTGAATCTGGATGTATCAAAAGAAAACAAGGAAGGAAAATGTTGACAAGTTGACTGAATCCTAGAACATTCTACATTCCTTGTGGATGTCATAGTTTTAATCTTGCACTTTGTGATATGGTCACTTGTTGCTCAAAAAAGCTAAAGATTTCTTTGGGGTTGTGCAATGTTTATGCACTTTATTTTCTTCATCTACTAAACGGTGAAAAACTTTCAAAGAGAATGTAACCGGTCTTACCCTTATAACCCTTGTCACAAACTCGTTGGGAAATTCATATTGAAAGTGTTAGAGCGATATGATTTCAAGCTCCGCAGATAAAAAAAAGCGTTACTTCAATTAACAAATGTTGATGATCCTAAGACAAAAAGTGAGAAGGGGTGTTTGACAACATATGAAATCGAAAATTTTGAATTCTTATGTGGGGATTATTTGGTATGAAGTATTGAATAATGTTAAGAAAGCAAGCAAACATTTGCGAGTAGAAAACATGCATATTGATGTTGCTATAAATCATTTAAAATGCCTCATTTCATTTTTCTAAAGTTATAGTGAATCTAGTTTTGAATCGGTCATGGTTGATGCTGAGGAGATTGCAAGTGAATTAAACATTGAACCGATATTTTATGAAAAATGGGTCATACATAGAAAAAAGCAATTTGATGAGGCTTCTTCTGAAGAGATAACATAAACAGTTGTAGAATTTTTTAAGATCAATTATTTCATATATATAGTGGATTAAGTTCTATCATCACTTCAGAATAGATTTGAGCAATTTTAGAAATATGATGATATTTTTGGATTTTTGTTTTAGTTGAAAAGACTTAAATTTATTGATGATGATGTTTTGAAGTGTTCTTGCATTAAACTTGAAAATTACTTGAAGCATAATGCGATTTCTGATATTAATGGAAATAATTATTTTTTGAGTTGAAAATTTTAAGGAAGCGATATCTGCACACATTTTTGGAGCAATTGATATATTTGATTACATTAAGGGAATGAACTATTGTTTTGCAAATAATTGAATTGCTTATAGAGTATTATTGACTATTCCTGTCACAGTTGCTTCTGCTAAAAGAAGTTTTTCAAAGTTGAAGTTGATCAGTCACAAGAGCGATTGAATGAATTAGCTATGATTTCTATTGAAAAATATGTTGGAAAAACTTAATGTTAGTAGTTTGATTACTAATTTTACATTTCAAAATGTGAGAAGGTTAAATCATATGCTAGCCTAATCTTTTGGGTTGTGAAAGAAGTTTATTTTGCTATTCTATCTTCTGAATTGTATAAAGTTTTCTTTCTAATATAAAATTGTTAATTATTTGAATATTTACATATTGTTAAACATGTAAAATAAATTTTGTGTTGAGTGACTCCATAATAATTAAACGTTAGGGCCTCTACATTCTCGAGGCCAACCCATCTTTACACATGATATACTTATTTAGAGAGCACGCATTTCTAACATTTTATTGGCTCTTTTCGATCTATAAACAATTTTTCCATATATATATATATATATATACACACCAAATATATATTCAAGAATCCAGTGACCGTTTTGAAATTTTTAAGTAAGTTCAGTGACCATTTGCGAAATTAATCCTTTTCAAAAATAATTCGCACTGCATGTCAAATAACTTGCATGAACTTGTTTTCAGTTGCACAAATGATATTATAAAATAAATTTTTTTCATAATTAAAATATACGATGGTCAAGAAAAAATATTATTTTGAGAATGACTACATAGTAATTCTAGTTAAATACGTGAATTCATTGAATTAAAGATGTCAAATGATAAGATCTTATCTAGACAAGAATCAGGCTAAATTTTTTTTTACCATGTTAGACATAACAAAATTAAGCTCCCGTTTGATATGGATTAAAATTCAAATTTTAATTTAAATCAAAGTTAATAATTAATTTTAACAACATATTTCATGTTTTTCACAATTTTTCAACCCCACATTTCATCAATTTTTATCAAAATCTATTAAAAATCAAATTTTAATAAGTGGCTAAATATTAAATTTAAATTAAGAGAAACAATGATTACAAGTTATTTTAATATACTTACTAATTTCAACATCAACAACTTTTCTCAAGACAAGGCAACTGAATGCAATTTAGCTGGGTAAATTTCATCTGCAGTCACTTCACTTTTAAGCAACAATTTAACTGGTCACTAAACTTTAATTTAACTCAATTGAATCACTAAACTTTAATTTAAATTTAAATCGAGTCATTAAACTTTAATTAGTTTTAAATTTCATTGCTTCATCACCATTCGCCTTCCAAATTGTTGAAAATTGTTTAATAAACAACATACTACAATATATCTTCCATCTAATGATTGCATTGCGCGTCAATCTACCACTACACCTTATCATGAAGTTTTAAAATAAAGAAGAAATACGCATTTTAATAGTTTACTCCACTGAAATTATCATAACTCTCATTCTACCATTTTCTGGTGTAGAATGCCATGCAGCAATTATATTTAAGATCGATTATCAACAGAGCAATTTCTATTAGTTTTGAGGACGATAAGTGACAGAATAGAGCAAGTAAATTTTGAAATTAAATTAAAGTAAATGAATCATTTGAGATAAATTAACCAACTGTATTTTTTCTTGAAGTTCAATGGCTGTGGATGAAGTTTACCAAAATTTAAGATATATGTCACAAATATAAATATTACCATCTATAGTTCTCATTGTATAAAAAAACATTTTTACTTGTTCTCATTGTATATCTGAAAAGATGTTGATAAAGAGGTCTCATATGACTATCTGAATTCATAAAAAGTATTGCTTGGAAATACAAATTTCTATTAATTTTTCCTTTTTATCCGTATCCACTTTTTAGAAGTACGAATATAACTGCATTGCATTGCAAGAATTGGTAAGCCTTTTCTCATTTGAATGTCAATTATAATACAAAGAGTAAGTAGCATTCCAATGTATTTTTCCATGTTCAACAGCTACTCACCTCCTGTTATAGGAGAGAAACTGATGAGGGTGAGAGGCAAAATACTGTAATATATAAAAGATTAGCTTTGTCTCTCATTTGTTATGCTTTATACGCTGAAAGAATTACAAAAAGAAAAAGGGTATAGTTGAAAAGAACTGTAACAGAAAATCAACATCCATGCCTCACCAGTGGGGGGGGACTCCAAAGCTCTCTATGATGACAAATGAACTTTGTCAAAGGGAAAAAAAAAAATAAAAACGAAAAGAAAAATCCTGGGACGGGATCCATTGTGATTCCCTGTGCACACACGCTCGACCAATCTCAGTAGTTCACACTAAAATCAAAAACTCACAAAGCCACATCCTTCATAATAGTAAACTCATTGTTTGTGATATTAAAGGCAACCAGCTGCTATGAAAGTGCAGATCTCACTTTCCATTTGCAGGTTTTTGCTTTCTTTCGGCAAAAACTTGTTGCCTTCCAGGCTTATGCATTGGTGAAGTAATCCCATTTGAAAGTCTCTTAGACGGAGGAGGAATTAGGCTCCTAACAACAAAAATAAGCTATAAATACAAAGAAAATTAGGATGTGCCCTAAAGGATAAAGCAAGGCCAATAGTATATGCATCACATGATGTTGTCCTATAATTACCAACTTCAAATATCTATACTTTCATGTGAATAAGTAAATTCACTAGCGTCCTTCTAAGCACAGTACTAAGAAAATGCTTGGTAAGATCATGAGTAAGAGGTTGAATGTGCGAAGAATGCTTACAGATGTGGAGAGAAAGAAGGTTCTATATTGTTGAATCATCTAAAGGGGGTCAACTTTATTTATTTAATTTTACTCTTCAACGGTCCAGTCTCATGGAAACCAGATTTCTTTTATTATTTGTCTGACACAAGTAGAATTTTCATAAATGAGTGGTGACAAGCTTTGAAATCGAGACATGTCTCCTTTGATAATATCAAGTTGAGCCATCTTATATAAAAGTTTAAGTTATTAGAGCATCTTCAATAATGGTGTAAAATAGAGATTTAGATCTCCAAAGTGGCCGGAAACGTTTCCAGTGGAGAGATGCAAAAGAGATACAAATCGCATTTTTGACAGAAAATGTAAAAAAAGTGGATTTAGATCATTCCATTGGAGTAGAATTTGGATTTAGATCAACCGGGATGTAAATGAGGATACAAAAGTAATTTTAGAGATACCAATCTAAACCCAATTTTACACCACTATTGGAGATACTCTAAGGGATATAATTATTGTCTTCAACATATATTGCAGTACTCAGATGGATTTTAAAAGACAGGTAACTAGTGAAGTATAATACCTTAGTTCAGGGATCTTCGTCTGCTTTGGACTAGGTCTCCTGATTTTTGACCCTTGAATATTGGGAATACCGCTGGCTCTAGGAACATGTTGCCGTTGGTAGTCAGCCTCAGACGAATCACTAGTTGCAACATCCAGCTCATCCGGATCATCATTGGCAACCGAATCATATTGGCCGCTAACCATATCATTCTCTAGGCTGTGCCTTCTGTTAATTGAAACTTTGTTCAAAGGTTGTTCCGGGAATAACTTGGAAGCATCAGGAACATACTTCTGAAAGAACATCTCAGGTAACTGTCTGTTATCCTCACATTTTCCTGGGTTGTTATCCGTATTTATATTATCTCGTTTATCCGCCATAATCTTGTCAATCCAATCACCAGGGACACCTGCCTTTTCATCATCCAGCAAGTCAGGACTGCCTCCTGGTGGCCAGTGAGGAGAATTTATCAACATGTCTTGAAGCTCCAAGCTTTGCCTTCTCGACAGTGATGAAGAGATACTTCGTCCCTGGGGAAAATGAAGCATAAAACTTAAATTTTAAGTTTCATTCCGACACCATATTGGTGAGTTTGACTGGTCAGACTGGACGGTATATTAGGAAGAAAAATGATGAAATCTTGTCTTTTTCTTTTGAGTACTTTCTTGTACTGCGTGTCAAACATGCCCTATATGTAATGTAAATCCGGTCCATATTTCTCAAGAATTTATTGTAAGTCCTTCTGTTTTCCATCACATTCAATATCAGCAACAAAAATTCCCAATTAATAGAACTTACTCACCAAATCAACAATCTAATAGACCCTTGGCTACATCAAAATTTAAAGATAAAACACCATATTGCCCCATCTGATCAAAGCCACAATGAATTTCTAGTAAACTATTCATAAATTATAAAATGATCAAAATTAGGTAGCGATTGCTTACAAAAATATCTGCCATTATGCACCAGAATGTAGTTAAAGTCAATGAAAGTAAAACCGACATTCAGGGAACTGATAACGTCTTGTAATATATTAAATCTAAATTCGTTCCTGGAAAATGTCCATACCTCAGACTTACTGGCATCTCCATGCCAAGAACGTGATGGAGAGGACCCAGAGGAGTTAATTCTCACTCTTTCTGGGCTGCTATATATAGAGTGCTGATGGTTCCCTGATTCTCCCTCCTTCCGTGCTAAGGCCACTTTAAGACTAGCTATCTGTATGTAAGTATCTAAATGTCACTTTCTTTAATCACACTGAAAAGAAAACATGCCACCTGAGAATTTTCTTTTTTTTTTTTTTTTTGGCAATTGTGGGACATTGAAAGAGGAACTAGATATAATCCACAGGGAAAGAAAAGAACTTCTACTTCGAGAATATGCTTATTCTTTCCACGAGCAAGGAAAGAAATATAGAAAAAACTAACCCCTGACTGACACGATAAGTTCACAAAATACAAAGTGATTATAACCTGTTGTTTTAATTCCTTGACACCAGCACTCTCTTTGTTTACTCGAGCACTGCCAAGCTCAACGGTGGAAACACGTTCAGCAAATTTGAGAGTACTAATAGTTTCTCCAAGGGTATCTGGCTCAGGACTGATGTGAACAAACATTAGTGTCTTTGCTTGCCCTCCTAACAAACACCAGAGCCAATAACTTAGTAGCCCCAGACAGAAAGGGAAAAAATATTGTAAATGGGCCAAATCTTACCAAGTGAATCTTGCAGCAACTGTGTAAGCTTACTATTCCTATAAGGAACATGTGACTGCTTTTGGGCAAGAGAAGATATGACATCTCCTAAAGCAGAAAGAGATTTGTTGATGTGTTGAGCCTCCTTTAATCTATCACCAACTGCCTCAGATTTGTCAACTCTTTCACTTCCTGCAAGGTCAACCAGATGCATACAACCACGGACAACCGTACCAGATGTCACATATCTTCCTTGAACATGAACTGTGAGGCAACTGGAAACAGAATACCTCGCCTAAGTAAGATATTCAGTATGCACTCTGTTTTATAAGACATTCAACATAACTAAGTACAGGTTTACCAATGTAAATTGTGAAAGAAATTCATCTATTTTTTTCAGTGATGATTATGAAAGTTTGAAACTAGACTAGTGCATAGACCGATAAAGTTCATGGCTCTAAATCACCACTGTAAAACTGGCTTACAATGTGAGATTTTACTTCACCTTGTACACTGTATATCTCTATTATACCCAAACCATGTGGGACACGCTAAAACTCCCTCTTAGCGTCAGGGCTGAAGTCAATCGGCATCCCCCTCCACAAAGGTCTAGAAAAACAAACAGAACCCATCTTGACATACACCCTCTCTGATACAATGGTAAAGTCCATGGACCTAGCTCATGACTGTAAGATCGGCTGACAATGTGAGGTTTGCACATCTCAATTGTAACCAGGAAAAGTGGGATATGCTAACACAACAATCGATAAGTTAACTGCCACATTCAAACCTTCCCCACCAAAAAGAGTATACTTATTTTGCAAACTTGAAAGGGCATACCTGTGAGAACGGCTACTTCGAACATTCATAGCAGTTGAACCAACTGCACGATTTTTTTGCCCAAGGTTCATCAGATTGATGACATCCGATGTTGATGTAACAGGTACAAGATTTGCATCTGGTACATTAACACCGTTTTGGGTATTGTTGCGGATTTCTAACGTATTTATGAGTTAAGAAAACTGAAGCATGATCTATGCGAACGAAGTAAAGATATGAAGTTATAAACTGCTTTCAAGAAGGATATCTTCTATTGAGACCACCATCCATCACAAGGAGATCTCTAACTTGCTCGTTATAGATTTCAATCATCTGAACAGATACATCATAAGCAATGGAGTCTTTTCTCTGATCTGAGATGAGAAACAAATCACTCAATGCCCTGAAGTTTACTCCTACACTTTCCTTTGTAAGTTCTGAAGGTCCTGTCTGTGGATAGAATGACAGACATTATAAAGAAATTTATAGAAAATACACAGTATGAAATAAGTTACTAAAACAGAGGTATTTTAATGAAAGAAACATATTAGATCTGACAGCGTGTTTGGTAGGGAGGATTGGATAACACTGCACAGTACTAAAATAGAAAAAAGGAAGCTAAAATCTTATTCATTATATTATCCAATATTGTCCTATTATGTATACCAAACATCAACCAAATTTGTTATTGCAGTTTCTAAACATAAATGAAAATCCGCACCATTGTATGAGTTTTTCCTGAACCTGTTTGACCATAAGCAAATATACAAACATTGTAGCCATCAAGGACAGACCGAATCAGTGGCTGGGTGTCAGAAAATACTTCTTCTGCAAATGGAAGAACAAAAGGGAAAACCTGGTGCTTTAATAGGATCCCCATGGGTATGGTACATAGGGGAATATATAAAGTAATTAGGGACCTTAGTGACCTTGGCTTGCAGATGGACCAAAGACCTTGTTAAAAGTGAATGACTTCCTTCCTTCTTTTCCATACTTCGAAGAAGTAAGTATTGTAATTGTCCTTTCATCTAAATCTTCCACAGTGCTCAAATGATTTGGTTTCCCAGGCATGAAAGGTCGTATTCGACAATATACCCTTATATTTCCTATAAAATGTATGCACCAAACCACATTACCACCACTCAGAATAAAGAGCCTCTCTGTCAGTATATAAGTATCCAAACCATTAGCATTTTCACCTTTTAGGTCTTGCACTTGATTATATAACTTGCAATTCTCTTCGAGAACTTTGTGGTACTTCGAGGCTGCATGTGCCAGACCATGTAGGTGTTTACCTAACATCAGAAAGCGAATTGTAAATCCCAAAAGCCTTTTTCTTCCTCTATAAAACGCAACAACTTAAATTAATTCATACCTAGATTATTAACCTCTTCTTGATAGCTCATTTGCAGCATTTGCATGTCATCTTTGGCAGAACTAAGGGTATTTTTCAGTTCCTACAATGTATTGAAATTGATATTCTATGACTTCCATATTGGGTTGATAAGAATGTATTTTTTATGTAATTGATCTCCAGTTCAGATTACCTGTATATCTCTTTCCTGTTGTTCTATCAATTGTTTCTGCTTCAATGCCTGGCCTTTTGTTTGGCCATCAGAAACTTCTTTCTCACTCCAACAGGCGTCATTCATTACATTAGAGGTCTAACAATACAAACAGAAGAAGTCACGCCTATGCATCTAAGATGTTTAAACAATATAGACACACAATTAATCTTCTAAAATTCATTCAATATAATCACACCTTTATCTCCGCAGAAGCATGCTCTGCTAGAGGCTCAGAAGCATGTTTGGCTAAAGGCTCAGAAGCACGTTCCACTAGAGGCTCATTGCAATAAGGGATGTCCGTACCTCTCAAAGTTGTTGTCATCTGTCATATTTCAAAGACAGAACATTAAGCAGGTTCCATGTTTTTCAAAATATTTGACTGAATTCATGTCATGAACAATATTGAACATAATATTAGAAAGTATTAGCCAACAGCGAAGTCTTGGCAAAGAGCTTTGCTTGCAAAAATAGTTAATATAGGGAAAATGCATATTGATGAATATACTGGGCTTACCCGCTCACTTTTGCTTGCGAACTGCTGCTCAAATTCTTCCTTAACTTTTATTAACATATTCTCTACAATCTGAGCCAAAACAGAATCATTTGTATTTCTCAGAATAGAAGATAATGAAATCTATGTGCCAGAAAGCACTCTGGTCAAATAAGGACAGGAAAGAGCTTTGTGTATGATGTTGACAGTTATCTACTGACTAAACTCAAAAGACACCAAAATAGTCTAGAGTACCTTTCTGGATTATACAAAGAGTTTTCTAAGTAATTCATATTATCACTTAAAATAATTAGTTAGTGGCGCCTATGCAGCATAATCATGCTCGATATCAATGAGGAAAACTATATACTGATAGTGGTTCAACATGAAGTAATAATTCTTTATTCCCAACTCTGTGAAGTAATAATTCACCAAGTGGCAGCATATGAGATAAGGAACTAATGATAGACCAAACAGATATAAATAACAGCTTCACACCCTTGAAACAAGGTAATAGGAAGTAAGACGAGATCACTTACCCCAGGAATATCTTCTCGGCCCTTATCAGAAAGAAGTTCTCGAACTAGTATGTGCAAGGAATGAGAAGTAGCCTGCAAAATTAAGTGCAAAACCACTTTTAAATTATTTTGACACTGTAACAATAGTAAATACTCGAAATGGGGGCTCACAGACCGTTTCATTAAAGTCGTGAGCATGATCATGCTCACTTGACAAACGATCAAGAGACTTCTCACCACATGATGAATTCCTTGAAATTGAACTCATGAATGGTTCAGAATTTTTTCTGACAAATGGCTTCCCAGTGGAAGATGACTTTGAATTTCCGCCAAACTTAAAGATTCCATTTCCACCTCCTTGTTTCCACTCATTGTATGATTTCATTGCCAGTACACAATTCACAATTCTGGAAGTTTTTCCTCCCTAAAGATGTTGGATAGACACAATTAAATTTTCATTTTGTTCGTCCTTTTACATTGAACATAGCAAAGATTTAAAAATACAAATGAAAAAGCCTTGTCTTGGTAAGAAATTATATTGATCTATATACCTGTTCCAAATCAGACCATTCAAAAGTTGGAATCCCCATTTCCTGTATGGCATCAAGGAAGTTCCTAACATTCTCAAAGTACTGGTATGCAGAAAGAGCAGCCCCATCGGGAACGAGGACAGTATCAGGAGGAGCTTCAACTACCTATGAGCAAACATATAAGTAAATTAACAAAATAAATTATAGGCTTAGAAATATGACTGTGAAAGAGAACCATAGAATCACGATTAACCTACTTTAGGCACAGCACCAGGCAGAACTTTGTTAAGAACATTGCATAGAATAATCCCACTACGCAGCCCGAGTCTAAATTCTTCTTCAGAAGGTTGAGCTGGTAAATCTTTACCATATACCACTCCTACCATCTTTCTTAACCATCCAGAGGCATCATATCTTCTCAATGCTGCATGAAAACCATCTCATTACAAATTCTTTCCCACAAATCAATCACTTAAAACCCACACAATTGACTGTTCATACAATGAAATTACATGAACCCATAAACCCAAAAGTCAATAAGCACTATAATCTAGATTAATAATCAGTTACCATATCTAGTGCATACGTATTTTACCCACATTTTCCAATAAAAAATTCATCAAGGAATCAACAAAAACATACGCAAAACAATAAAAGATTCTGATGTAAAAAACTATCAAAAATGATCATGAAAGAATAAATCATAAATGAGCATTACAGGCTTCCTCTGCTTTTCTTGAGGCAAAATCAATGTCGCACAATCTCTTGCCCTGCTGTTGAAGCACATCCTCCAACACTGACTCCACATTAAACTGCAACACCCCATCCGCCATTGATTCTTAAACAACACCCCTCCAAGAAAATCCGACCCTTAATCAAAGCTATATTAAAATCCCCTCGACAAATTATGGGCATTCAAGAATCATCAACATATGCTTGTATTCATACGTATATACATACAATTTGCATGTATCTCTCTAAGTGTATGTTTGTGTGATTATGGTGAGACATCAAATCTTGGAGAAAGAATAAATGAAGGAGAAGTTATAGAGAAAGGAAAGAGAGAGAAAAAGAAATGTATTTGATTACTACATATTATTGATTTCTTGAATTTGACAGTGTAAGCTCTTCTATGGCTCTTCTCTCTCTCTCTCTCTCTCTCTCTCTCTAACCTCTCAAAGCCGAAAGGCTCGGGTATCTAATGGTTCATATTTTGACCATTTAGCGGAAGAAAAATAAAGAGTATAAAAACAGTCTACAAGCAATTTTATTATATTGCACTTTCAGAAAAATGAGAAAATACCAGTGTTTTTGAAAGCGAGAGTTGAGCATCTACCCAACATATATAGACGATTAACCTTAGAACTCATTGGTAAAATTTAAAAGTAAAATAAATTTTTAGATGAACTTACAATGTCTTATATTGAACAACAATGTTATGGTGACAGAAATTTTTTGATATAATGAATGATCGACATTCATATTGGCGAGGCCCACTTTTTTTGGATTTTTTATGTACGTGGAGTCCACATGCTATTAGAGAATGTCAACCATTATATCAAAAAAATTCTGGCAAAGTCGAATGAGCTAATTCTAAACCTTTTTAATAGTTTCTAATTTATGGTTTTTTAGGCATAACCTGATGGATTCCAGATTCAAGTCTAATAGATCCAACTTTGATGATATTGAAAAATATAAATTTAACGATGACTAAAATGAGGGATAATTTCTCTCTTATGTTTCATTTTGATGATTGCATTATCAAAATTAGAATGTAGCTTAGTATCATTGCAATCGAGTGAAAATTAAAATGTCAGTCAAAGTAATTTTAGTATGAGAAACCGTAATATGGAAGTGATCTTACCAGTTCCCAATGCTTCTCAATTAGGAAGTTTTCAAGAGAACTAAGCATCTTTGGAACTTGTTTATAAACGATTTAAATTATAAGAATGTAAAAATGAGTGATGAATAAATTGATAGTACTTGTGAATCCTTCAAAATATATGAATAAAAAGTAACTTGAATGTTTACAGATATATTATAAGCATGAGAAAACATAGACATTGCTCGTGTTCTGTCTATCTTTTTCATATTTGTTTGAATGCGAACATGGGTAATAAGAATCTAACTTGAGAAAATAATTTGACTTGATTATGAAATAGAAGAATGAAAGAAAATTAAAGGTTAAATATGGAATATTATGGTTTAATTGTGGCAATTAATTCTTAATTTTAATCTTCTCAAAACAAGTATACATTTGTAGTCCCTGTTTGTTTCCCATTATTTTTCTATTAAAATGAAAAATATGACCATTATCCATCACATTAAGCCATCAAATTTGAATTTCTATATCTTGTGTGAGACCCATAACGACTATATTTTTCATTTTCATTTTTACAAAAATGAGAAACAAACGCCCTTGCGTTTTATTTATGTATGAGTGGCGTAAAGTTTCACTTTTGACCTATATTAACAAGTAATGATTAAATGCACTTCATCAAGCTTTCTTGATAATTAAATGAAATTATAAGTTATATGATTACAATTTTTTTCTTTTAGATAAATTTTAAATATGTAATTATGAATTGATAATAAGTTCATTAAAGTTTAAGCAACACTCACAAACTAAAACTTATTCCAAATAAATTTAAGAACAACAATTTGGTTTTTTTTTTTTAATCATTTCATCAACAATTTGAATTTTTTTAATCATTTCATCCGTTTATCAATTGAAATACATTAATATCTAATGCAACTAAATTTCAAAACTATTGGTGTATATTCTTGTTTATTACATTAATTGTTTTAGTATAATCAAACACCTATGCTAATATTCTCATTGTATAGCTCGATTGTATACTTGAATAAGATTTTAAATAACCTATCTAACATATATATTAATTTTGTAATGATTGCATTGCTAGTTCTTCACTTGATAACTTAATGAGGATATTCTTAAAAAGTTATATTAATTAAGTTATTCCATGATGAAAGTGGATGAAGTCATGATTAACCAAATTAATTCATCCATGAAGGTGAGAAGACAATTATTTTTCTAATTAAACATAAAAAATAATACAAAAAAAATATGGAATCTATAAATAATTTGAAAAGGCATCTTGAGTTTCATCTTGGATTAATTCTTAAAAATGAAAACCTATTGAAAAAATTCAATTAATAATGGACAAAGGGAGGCCATATGCATGCATGAGAAACGGGACGCCTTTACTTTAAATTAGTTTAAAAGCCCTCAACATGTAACTATGATTATGAGACTCAATTAATTTGTATAAAGTTAAATTTAAGATTTTCAATTCTTTTGAAGATGATGTAGAACATATTGTAGAATGGATGGGAGAAGATATTAATGAAAATGGGGGAAAAGTAATAATGGAGAGATAACATCCGAATTTCGATTTGGGTTCATAATACCATTTCGAAAAAAAGGACAAAGACATGAGTAATACTCATTGCTTTGCCATGAAGTACGATCGATTTCAATCATTTGAATTCATTTAGGGCTCGAAAACTAATTTTTAAAACTTTAGCTCTATTTCTGTTATTTAGTTTATTTTGGATTCCTTTTAATTTTAGTTTGTTTAAACTTTGTTTTCATTAATTTTAGTCATTTTAAACTAGGTTTTCATGTAAACCCTTCTAAATAAGAAATTGTTTTGTTGGTTTGCTCATCTTTTCATTAATAAAATTTGTGAGTTATTTCTTTTCATAATTTGGTGAATTTCAAATTTCGTGTTCTTAAGGTTTTCGCTTGAATTCCTTGTTTCGCGCTATGTCAAATGAAATCAGAGTCAACTTTCTTGTCTCTCTATCTTTGATTCATAAACATGAATGATATACAAGTCATTAGGTAGAGACGGGTGCAACAAATCGATGGCTTGACGATTTTACTACTCAGATCGATGATTTATCAACTGTTTCTGTAGCGTGTTCGAAACAATGTACAAATGAACAACATGCGAGACAATGAATGGATCGTTGAGCCAGTAGGTCTAAGAGGAAATAATAGGATGCGTGTGGTAGAAGAAAGCGAATCAAAGTCAGAGGAGGAGTTTTAAGTGCCATTGCGTAATCCTAATCATCAAAACATCATCAAAACCGAAATAACTTTGATGATTATCAAATTAAGGCTGACATTCCCCCGTTTTTTGAAAACATGAAGATTAAGGACTTCTTTGGATAAGTTATTAGAGGTTGAAAGATTCTTCGAAATTATAGATGTTTCAGAGGACAAGATGGTTAAGATGTTGGCATTCCATTTGAAATATGCAGTAACAGTATGATGGGATCAATTACAAAACTTGCAGAAAGATCAAGCAGTCTATGATGGATCAATTTTTGTCTACAGATTATAAACGAATTTTATATCATATGTACCCGGGATGTACGCAGGGACAATCGTACAGTATCAGGATATACTAATGAATTTATGCGATTGGCGAAACGGAACAATACATAGAATTCGAAAATCAAAGGGTAGTTAGGTATACCAATAGGTTAAAGGAGATGATGAAATCTAACAAGAAGGTAATTTCATATATGAGACCTCCACTTGTCGACACATCATCATCCATTCATTTAGACAGAGAAAAGGCCCCACAACAAACCCCAACCAATCTTAACAGGAATAATGTTGACAACGATGGTCGGTTTGGGAATAGAGGTCAGACTCGAGACACACCTCATAATGCAAATCTGTATGCTCAACCTACAGGATATATTTGTTAAAGATGACACAAGCCTAGACATCGTTCTAATACCTATCACGGAAGAAAGCAAATCAATTTGGTGGAACCAGAGGTAGTGGACGAGGAGAAAGACACTAAGGTGGAAGATGAGTATGTGGGAGTAGAGTTTGCTGTTGAGAAAGGTGTAGAAAGGCACTTTAGTACTGATGAACATCCTTTTATCATCGAAGGAGGAGAAATAACGTCATTGCATCTTTCCTTCACTTTGCTCTATCAAAAATAAAGTGTGTGAAGTGATTGTGGATAATAGAAGTCATGATAACTTTATGTAGAAGAGGTGGGTGAATTAATTGAAACTACAATCTGAAAACCATCCTAACCTTATTCACTTGGTTGGGTGAAAAGAGGTCATTCTGTTCAAGTTGCTAAGACCTGCAAAATTACATGTTTGCATTGGTAACTATTAAAAGGATGAAATTGTGCTTGATATTATAAACATGGATGCTTGTCATATACTATTAGGTCATTCATGACAGTTTGATGTGGATTCAACTTTGAAAGGGCATGATAATGTGGTACTCTTTTCATAGGGTAGTGATAAGATCGCTATGGTTCCTCTCAAACAGGCAAAGAAGTTTACTCAACCATGAATTGAGAGTTTTCTTACCCTTACAAGTAATAAGAAGGAAATTGCAGAATCTGTAAAAGAATTTGATTGCTTTTATCCAGTTGTATTTAAAGGGCTTTTACCAGCAAATAAGGAAGATGATGGTGTTCTGCCTGAGGTACAAGAATTATTGACAAAATTTAAAGATCTAGTTTTTGATAAACTACCAAATGATCTACCTCTCATGAGGAATATTCAGCACGAGATTGATTTGGTACCTGAGGCTAGCCTTCCAAATTTGCTTCCTTACCGAATGAGTCCAAAAGAGAATGAGATTTTAAGGGAGCAAATTGAGGAGTTGTTGAAAGGTAGGGAAAAGCATGATTCCGTGTGCAATGATTGTCCTTCTAGTGCCTAAGAATGATGGAAAGTTAGTATGTGTGTGTGTGTCAGTCATGCCATCAACAAGATTGTTGACTTACGGTTGACTTCTCGTTTTGATTATAACAAGCAAATTTTATTTAACAATTGTATTTGAGTGATTATAGAAGTTTATGACAAGCGTGGACAAAAGGATGCTTTCGGAGCTCTCGCAAAATTGGACAAAGTAGAAACCAAGCTACACATTAAGACAACGAGCACTTCATCAAGTCAAACAAAGAAAAAATTAGAAGAAAATAGATTTAGACACCTCGATTTCAAATGTTAATGTAAAACAATTTAGTATTTGGCATATACGTCATTTGAAACTCAAGAAACGTTTCTTCGCATGGGAAACACGATTTTTGCATAAAGAAAAGCATGAACCTATTATA